TTGATTGTGAGTGGTGGTGGCGATGATGATGTTTGAATGAGGATGATGCCGATGCCGATGATGATGATGATGATTGTTATGATTGTTCGTGAGCGTGTTAGAGGATGCCAACGATGATTGATGGATGTGATGACAGACGGTAGAGTGATCTAAGCATGTGAGATGAGCATATCGATGGATGCTGATGAGTTATTTGTTGAAGAGTGCGACGTGAGTGTGAGTGGGTTTGTGTGTGTGTGTGTGTGTGGTTGTGGTGTTCTGTTCTGCGCCCGGGGTGTCCAGATAAATTTACTCCGACGGAAGAACCGCACATAGAATCCTTGGCGGATCTGGAAAAAGCCATCACCGTCGCTCCTCGTGGTTGTTGAGGCGTCTGGCTGTTCTCTTCTGAGTATATTTTCCTTCGCGCCTTGGCGGGGCCCCTTTTCGACTCTTTACGTGGTCCATCTCGCCCCCCTGTTTTGTTTCCGCGCCCCGCAACATCCTCCCCATTCCTGTTTGCATGAGCGCGCATGTCGATGTTCCTCGGCGCCGTCGCCGCCACGGCCAGCACAGGCGCGTTCTCTACTGGTCACGTCGCGCAGCCGTTGGGACAACCCCGCGGGCCAGGCTGTCGGGACAAACCCGCGAGCCGTTGGCGCGCAAGACCAAGCCGTTGGGACAACCCCGCGGGCTTCGAGCGAGGCGCAGCCGCGCTCAGGCGGAAGGCAGCACGAAACCCAGCTCTGCCGCGAGCTGCTTCGCCTCCGCCCTGGACAAAACCGCTCTCTTGTCGAACTCAGGAGCGCCTTCCGCAGGGACGCCGGCGGCCCGCACTCCAGGAACTCTCGCGGCGGCGGCCGCAGGATCAGCATGTTCCGCATGCACGTGGCGCGGGAGAACATGACGTAGAGGTGCAGCCACCACTGCTCGTCCGACATGCCCGTGCGGCCAGCGCCCTCGTCTCTCGCGCAGTCGATGGTGACGCCCTTGCGCGGCGTCTGGCCCTGCGACAGCGTGGAGGTCAGGTAGGACGCGTGCGTCAGGGTGAACCCCGAGCGGCGCACGCTGTGCGCCCCCGAGCTCTGCCATGTGAACTCCCTTTCGCTGGGCCTGTACATCAGCAAGCTCCGCGCCCGCGCCTCGGCCTGGCCGTCGTCGTCGGCGCCTTCGGCGCCCTGTCGCAGCACCTCGGCGACCTGAGGAGCCCAAAAACTTCCTTGTTGCATCCAAAGTGTGGCCTGGGAGCTGCGTTCTGGCAGCGCGAGAACACAACATTGACGACAGTTACAGGTTTTGGATGACCTGCTCGGATTACCAACATGATCTGCGGGCCCCATAGGGAGGGGGCTCCCGCCTGAGACTTCCTCGCAGTTCACTCACAGACGAGGCTCCCGCCTGAGACTTCCTCCACATTCAGGCTTGAGGAGCCCAAAAATGACGACAGTTACAGGGTTCCGATGACCCGCTCGGATTACCAACATGATCTGCGGGCCCCATAGGGAGGGGGCTCCCGCCTGAGACTTCTTCACAATTCACCCAAAGACGAGGCTCCCGCCAGAGACTTCCTCCAAATTCAGGCTTGACGAGCCCAAAAGTGACGACAGTTACAGGGTTCCGATTACCCGCTCGGATTACCAACATGATCTGCGGGCCCCATAGGGAGGGGGCTCCCGCCTGAGACTTCCTCGCAGTTCACTCACAGACGAGGCTCCCGCCTGAGACTTCCTCCATATTCAGGCTTGAGGAGCCCAAAAGTGACGACAGTTACAGGGTTCCGGTGACCCGCTCGGATTACCAACATGATCTGCGGGCCCCATAGGGAGGGGGCTCCCGCCTGAGACTTCTTCACAATTCACTCAAAGACGAGGCTCCCGCCAGAGACTTCCTCCAAATTCAGGCTTGACGAGCCATTACTCCGACGGAAGAACCCCACATAAGAATCCTCTGGGCGAATCTGGAAAAAGCCATCACCGTCGTCCTCGTGGTTGGTGAGGCGTCCTGGCTGTCTCTTCTGCGTATATTTCCTCTCGCCTTGGCGCGGGCCCCCCTTCCACTCCTTACGTTGTCCCCATCCTCGCCCCCTGTTTGTTCCGCGCCCCGCCACCTCCTCCCCTTCCTGTTGCATGAGCGCGCATGTCGATGTTCCTCGGCGCCGTCGCCGCCACGGCCAGCACAGGCGCGTTCTCCACAGGTCACGTCGCGCAGCCGTTGGGACAACCCCGCGGGCCAGGCTGTCGGGGCAACCCCGCGAGCCGTTGGCGCGCAGACCAAGCCGTTGGGACAACCCCGCGGGCTTCGAGCGAGGCGCAGCCGCGCTCAGGCGGAAGGCAGCACGAAGCCCAGCTCTGCCGCGAGCTGCTTCGCCTCCGCCCTGGACAAAACCGCTCTCTTGTCGAACTCCAGGAGCGCCTTCCGCAGGGACGCCGGCGGCCCGCACTCCAGGAACTCTCGCGGCGGCGGCCGCAGGATCAGCATGTTCCGCATGCACGTGGCGCGGGAGAACATGACGTAGAGGTGCAGCCACCACTGCTCGTCCGACATGCCCGTGCGGCCAGCGTCCTCGTCTCTCGCGCAGTCGATGGTGACGCCCTTGCGCAGCGTCTGGCCCTGCGACAGCGTGGAGGTCAGGTAGGACGCGTGCGTCAGGGTGAACCCCGAGCGGCGCACGCTGTGCGCCCCCGAGCTCTGCCATGTGAACTCCCTTTCGCTGGGCCTGAACATCAGCAAGCTCCGCGCCCGCGCCTCGGCCTGGCCGTCGTCGTCGGCGCCTTCGGCGCCCTGTCGCAGCACCTCGGCGACCTGAGGAGCCCAAAAACTTCCTTGTTGCATCCAAAGTGTGGCCTGGGAACTGCGTTCTGGCAGCGCGAGAACCCAACATTGACGACAGTTACAGGTTTTGGATGACCTGCTCGGATTACCAACATGATCTGCGGGCCCCATAGGGAGGGGGCTCCCGCCTGAGACTTCCTCGCAGTTCACTCACAGACGAGGCTCCCGCCTGAGACTTCCTCCATATTCAGGCTTGAGGAGCCCAAAAGTGACGACAGTTACAGGGTTCCGATGACCCGCTCGGATTACCAACATGATCTGCGGGCCCCATAGGGAGGGGGCTCCCGCCTGAGACTTCCTCACAATTCACTCACAAGACGAGGCTCCCGCCTGAGACTTCCTCCAAATTCAGGCTTGACGAGCCCAAAAGTGACGACAGTTACAGGTTCCGATGACCCGCTCGGATTACCAACATGATCTGCGGGCCCCATAGGGAGGGGGCTCCCGCCTGAGCCTTCCTCAGAATTCACTCACAGACGAGGCTCCCGCCTGAGACTTCCTCCATATTCAGGCTTGAGGAGCCCAAAAGTGACGACAGTTACAGGGTTCCGATGACCCGCTCGGATTACCAACATGATCTGCGGGCCCCATAGGGAGGGGGCTCCCGCCTGAGACTTCTTCACAATTCACTCAAAGACGAGGCTCCCGCCAGAGACTTCCTCCAAATTCAGGCTTGACGAGCCCAAAAGTGACGACAGTTACAGGGTTCCGATGACCCGCTCGGATTACCAACATGATCTGCGGGCCCCATAGGGAGGGGGCTCCCGCTTGAGCCTTCCTCAGAATTCACTCACAGACGAGGCTCCCGCCTGAGACTTCCTCCATATTCAGGCTTGAGGAGCCCAAAAGTGACGACAGTTACAGGGTTCCGATGACCCGCTCGGATTACCAACATGATCTGCGGGCCCCATAGGGAGGGAGCTCCCGCCTGAGACTTCCTCCCAATTCACTCACAGACGAGGCTCCCGCCTGAGACTTCCTCCATTTTCAGGCCTGGGGAGCCCAAAAGTGACGACAGTTACAGGGTTCCGATGACCCGCTCGGATTACCAACATGAAGTGCGGGACCCATAGGGAGGGGGCTCCCGCCTGAGACTTCCTCGCAATTCACTCACAGACGACGCTCCCGCCTGATACTTCCTCCAAATTCACGCCCCAGGAGCCCAAAAGTGACGACGGAATTCTCATCCGCATGATGAGGCAGAAGAGGAGAGGGGGTGGGGTGAGTGTTCCTGCGCGGGGTGTGCAGAGAAAACAAGAACCCCACTTTGGATGTGGGGAAAAAGTGACGACAGTTACAGGGTTCCGATGACCCGCTCGGATTACCAACATGATCTGCGGGCCCCATAGGGAGGGGGCTCCCGCTTGAGCACTAGGGAGGGGGCTCCCGCCTGAGCCTTCCTCAGAATTCACTCACAGACGAGGCTCCCGCCTGAGACTTCCTCCATATTCAGGCTTGAGGAGCCCAAAAGTGACGACAGTTACAGGGTTCCGATGACCCGCTCGGATTACCAACATGATCTGCGGGCCCCATAGGGAGGGGGCTCCCGCCTGAGACTTCCTCACACTTTACTCAACGATGATGAGGATGAGGATGATGAGTGGTGGTGAAGATGAGTGGTGAAGAGGATGATGATTGATTGTGGGTGGTGGTGGCGATGATGATGTTTGAATGAGGATGATGCCGATACCGATGATGACGATGATGATGAGTGAGTGAGTGAGTGAGTGTGCGAAGGCAGAAGAGGAGAGGGGGTGGGGTGAGTGTTCCTGCGCGGGGTGTGCAGAGAAAACAAGAACCCCACTTTGGATGTGGGGAACAAGAACCCCACTTTGGATGTGGGGAACAAAAAGCAAAACTGTCCTAAACCAGCGAACAATAACGCCCGTCCTGTTTTTGTGCATGACTCGAGGGTTCTGGGTCCTAAAATACACGTCGTTCATTTGTAATCGTGCTCATTTCTGATTGTGCTCGTCTCTTATTGTTCCTGACCCCCTAGTGGCTAGGAAGAGGCCCAGTATAGAAGAATTACAAATGAAAGGATCTTGGCACCCCCAAAAGATCACAGAACTCTCGCAGAATTAGAAATGAAAAATGTGTACTCTCGAGAATCGCTGAGTCAGGGCGAGGGGGGGAAGGCGCACGTGATGTTCAGAGCCGGCCGCGGGGAAGCGGGGCCGTACGGCGGCCTCGGGCAGCTCGAGCACCGTGGACTTCAGCCCGGGCGTGGCCCCCACGAACACGTAGGAGAAGGCGCCTCGGCAGGGGGCGGGAGCGGTCTAGAGTTCGTTATGACCCTCGCACTCCGCCCTGCATCTTCGAAGCGGATCTCGACCTGTGATGGCCCCGGGGCCCGAAAAACTTGGCGAACACGCCCAGTGTGGAAAAATGGCAACTCCAAGATCGAAGGGGTGACGATGACAACCACCGACCACGATCCTCCTCCTCCTCCTCCTCCTCCTCCTCCTCCTCCTCCTTCTCCTCCTCGGATGGAGACCTCTGCCAAGCCTTCTCTCCAATCCTCGCTTCTGTGCGGGTGAGCGGGGGGGGGGCTTGCGCTGTGCGCCCAGCTTCGCGAGCCACCCTCCAGAGGTGAGAGCTCAACAACGCCGATTTCGGAGTGGTCTGGAGGAGGAAGAGAAGGGGGGAAGAGGGGGTCCGGGCCGATGGGAGTCTGGACGCCATCGTGTTCCGTAATTGTTGTGGGGCTTACGCCCCAAGGCAAGCGGTGTTGTGATAATAAGCGTGCAAGCCCGCTGGTCATCTGGGACGTCAAGCTCTGGACAAGCGAAAAGCGGGGCGGGAGCATTAGCCGAGGGTAGTGCGAACATGAAGATCAACATCGGAGCACGGAGGAGTATACGACGAGAAGGATTGTGGAGAGGAGGTCGAGGCGGAGGGCGAGGAGGAGATATAGAGGGAAGAAACAAATAATGAGGGCGGGCACGCTGATGGCGATGATATCAACGATAATTATAAGGAAACCCGTATGATTATACACGACGGCAGGGGATGGCCAAGAAGGATACAAGCGAGAAGAGAAGAAGAACGCGGAAAACAATGCCGCGAACTCTCCCCGTCCTCCCGCCTCTTTCCCGTCGCTTCCTCTGTCCTCCAGAGCACTTCTCCCGCTAATCAGGCAAGCATGAACTGGCAGACGACCATGGTGGAAGGAGCGGCACAGGAACGACGATCACGCATTATTTTCGGGCAGGACGATTGCGTGGTCAATGCGCAGAGCATGTAATTGCTAACATTGGGCGTAACACACGGGTTCTGCGATTGCAAATGGGACCACCCGTCTTCGTTTCCAAGCTCAGGGTATTCAGGATGAGCTTGGCTGAAGGCTCCTTCCTCCCTCATCTGTCCTATGGTCTGCGCCCAATGCAGCACACCATGTGCATTGCACCGCACTGGGTGCACCATGTGTGCTGCTGCGCCATGCCGATTGCACTGTGTAGCACCATGCCAGAGCTTGCCTCAGGGAAGGCTCCCGCATTGCCCCGTTGCTGCGTGGGGGGTTGGGTGCGCCCCTGGGCAATCAACTCTGACTCTGGAGTCCCGAAACGGTGCGGTGACAAACCGTGCGGTGACCTCGAAATCCCTCAAGACCTCACCGCACGGTCCGTCACCGCACGGTCTTGGGACCCCGGAGGCCCCAATCGCCAGAGACGTCCTCGGAGAACGACCCGAGTCCCAAAACCGTGCGGTGACCCCGAATCCCCACCGACTCACCGCAAGGTGTGGTCACCGCCCCGTTTAGGGGCCCCCGAATGACAAGCGGGGCGGGGGTAGGTGGGGCAGGGCCCGGAGAGGGAGGTTGAATGTGTCCTAGCTCTCCTCCTCCTCCCGCTCCGCGGGCCCTGCGCGCGCACCCTGCTCGAGCGGCGCTCGGCCCTGCGGGCGCGCGGCCCCCGGCGACGGCGCCGGAGACGGGCCTGCGCTTTGCAGGGCCCTCTCCGGAGTGTTCCTGTCGCGGGCCTGCAGGGCTCGCTGGGTTCGCTGGTGAATGTCGGCGCTGCTGCGGCCGAAGGTAAAGCATGCCGCACGTGTCCTCAGTACTCGCGACATGCGTTATCTTCTGCCAGTCAGGAGCTCGGACCAGGCGCATCTTGGGAACGCTTGCCGACTTGTACCTTCCTTGTTGGGCGCACCCAGGCCAGGAGGCCCAACAGACTTGGTCATGTATGTGAGCATGGCCTTGTCTCGGTCGTGCTCCTCCTGCAACGCTTCCAGCGCAGACTGAGTGAAGACAGGGTGCATGCTGAGCGCTGAGCACGGCCTTGGCTGAGAAGTCGCACTGCTTGTTGGTACAAAAATGTAGCTTGTCGCTTTCCGTGGAATCAGTCTTGCGGGCGAGCATTTGACTTTGACAACTGCGCGCTGATATGTCGACTGAGCCATCCGGTGTACATCTCAACACAAGAGGGACAGGAGCGGGGGGAAGAGTAGGAAGAGGATGATGACGAAGACTAGGAGGAGGAGGAGGAGGAGTAGGAGTAGGAGGAGAAGGAGGAGGAGGAGGAGAAGGAGGAGGAGGAGGTCGACTCTTCTCCACCACAAATCGCGAAGAAAGTAGGCGCACGTAACCAGTCGGCTTCGGCCGAGCACCACGTGGGGAAGCAGCGGGAGAGGGAGACGGCTGCAAGTGTGAGGAGGGATGAGAAAGCAAACGAGCACCAGACCCTCCGCCAACGTCGAGCATGTCCGTGATGCCCTCCCCTGTCCCTGCGAGGCATCGAGAACCAAAGCCACATCGGACATATTCATATCCTGTCCCTCCCCCTCTCCTTCTCTCTCCGTCTCTCTGACTCTCTCGCTCTATCGCTCTCTCTCTCTCTCTCCCTCTCTCCCTCTTTATCTCCCTCTCTCTCTGTCTCTGTCTCTGTCTCTGTCTCTGTCTCCCTCTCTCTCTCCTTCTCTCAATGTTTGTTTGTTTGTTTCTCTCCCTCTCTCTCTATCCCTCCCTCCCTCTCCCTCTACCTCACCCTCTTTCTTTCTTTCTTTCTTTCTTTCTTTTTCTCTCTCTCTCTCTCTTTCTCGCTCTCTCTCCTCTCTCTCCCTCTCTCTTTTTTTTTTTTTTTCTCTCTCTCTCTCTCTCTCTCTCTCAGGGGTGTCGGGGCGGGACCTGGCGAGGCTGCCGCCGAAGCCGAAATCGCTTAGGACATCCTCGCAAAATCGCTCTTTGGTGCTCCCAGAACTCCATTCCCGGGCCACATTTTGGATGCCCGGAGCCAACTGTAAGCCACTTCGTGCTCTTCGACTTCCCAGAACTCCATTCCCGGGCCACATTTTGGATGCCCGGAGCCAACTGTAGGCCACTTCGTGCTCTTCGACTTCCCAGAACTCCATTCCCGGGCCACATTTTGGATGCCCGGAGCCAACTGTAGGCCACTTCGTGCTCTTCGAGTTCCCAGAACTCCATTCCTGGGCATGATTTTGAATGCCCGGAGCCAACTGTAGGCCACTTCGTGTTCTTCTAGTTCCCAGAACTCCATTCCCGGGCCACATTTTGAATGCTGAGGCAGGCTGATGCTGCGGCCGAGGCAGGCTGAGGCTGAGGCAGGCTGAGGCTGAGGCCGAGGCTGAAGGCAGACTGAGGCTGAGGCTGAAGCAGGCTGAGGCTGAGGCTGAGGCAGGCTGAGGCTGAGGCTGAGGCAGGCTGATGCTGAGGCAGGCTGAGGCTGAGGCTGAGGCTGATGCAGGCTGAGGCTGAGGCAGGCTGAGGCTGAGGCCGAGGCTGAAGGCAGACTGAGGCTGAGGCTGAAGCAGGCTGAGGCTGAGGCTGAGGCAGGCTGAGGCTGAGGCAGGCTGAGGCTGAGGCTGAGGCAGGCTGAGGCTGAGGCTGTGACTGCGACTGCCGTTGCCGCTGCGACTGTCATCGCGAATGCGACTACGACTGCGAGAACAGCAGAATTCTACAACTGGATTTTCATCTGAATCTTAAGGGGAATGCTTTCAGATATGCTTCTACACATCGCTGTTAGGTTGCTTTGCCGGGATAATACTATCTCTCTCTCTCTTGGAGACCTGCGCCTCCCAATGTGCCCGTGCGCCTCCCTGCGGTCGCCCGCGTGCACCGTGCAGGCTGGAACGCAGGCCTCCTTCTCTCCCCTGCGGCCCCCCTCGGTGGCCCCAGGCCTTGCAACCCCCGAGCCTCACGGCCCCCGCACCTTCTTCTCCCCTCCTCCCCCTCCTCCCTCTTCCTCCTCCTCCTGCTCCTCCTCCTCCTCCTCCTCCTCCTCTTCCTCTCTCTCCGCCTCCCCCTCCCTCCTCCCCCTCCTTCTCCTCCTCCTCCTCCTACTCCTCCTCCACCTCCTCCTCATCCTCTTCCTCCTCCTCCTTCTCCTCTTCCTCCTCCTCCTCCTCCTCCTCCTCCTCCTCGTCCTTCCATGGCTGGAACCACGCGTGGAACATGTAACATGTGGAGGCCACACGCTGGACGCACGTGCGGAAGCCCGACCTGCACGGCCATGGCAGGGCCAGGCGATGGTAAGACTTCTGGCCACATGTGCATCCAGCTCTCAATTTGGGCGCCCGAGTTATCCGGGGTAACTCGGGTCCGGGGTAACTCGGGTTTGGATTCCCGGAAAACGAACCCGAGTTAGCCCTGACCCGAGTTATCCCTGATGATTCGGGGCTCTGGACGCCCGAGTTATCCGGGGTAACTCGGGTCCGGGGTAACTCGGGTTTGGATTCCCGGAAAACGAACCCGAGTTATCCCTGACCCGAGTTACCCCTGATGATTCGGGGCTCTGATCAATCTCGCCCAGACCGGCCGCATCATTCCCGGATAACCCATTGGAGAACTGTATCTAGATTTGAAAGCCGGCACCGCAAGGTAGCCCTGGCGCTCGTTCCGGCTTCCGTGACAAATCCCCGGCGCGGCTTGCCTGAGGTTGCAGCGTGTCCCGGCAAGCCTTTTCTAAGCGTTTCCCAATACGTCTGCCCGGAAGCTCTCCAGAAGTCTTTCGGAAGGTCCTTCCAGGAGCTTCCAGAACTCCCTCGAGAAGCCTTTGGACGGCCTTCTGGTGCTCCGCCATCTGGGTTTTGGGCTACGCAAGTGTGCCCAGCTTCCTGGTAGGACTGCAGTGCCTGCTGCGCCCTCTTGCACGTGGCCGGTCCTTCCGCCTGCACAACGAGGGTGGGGAAGGGCGCCAACGACGGCTTTCGCGGGTACTGATGAAGTGCCGCGGTAACGGCAGCGACCCGCGCACCGAACCCGCAGCCCCAACATCGCAGCGCCAGCGAGGGACATCCAGGAGTCCGCTCCATCTCGATGCACCGAGAGCTCGACCGGGCCTCACAGGAGAGCGGTGCGAGAGTGGCGGCTCGGCGGGCGAATAAACACAGCCCGTTGGAGACGTATGCCGCCGCTTGTTGCGTCCTCCGCCCCTGACGCGGTCGAGGCCGAGGAGGTCGTCTGGAGCTAATGGGGTCGGCTGCCATCATAATCCACAGCATTAAATACGAATGCTACAACGCAGTCCCTACGATCGACTCCACGGGGTTGCAGGACAAAGAATTCAACTAGTCCTGGAGACAGGCATCCACAACGATGACTGCAAGGGCTGCCAGCGGCAGTGAAGACCGCGCCAGGTCAGACCGGCCACAACTGGGGCCAGCGATGGTCCTCACACCCCTGAGGGGGCCGATCTTGTCGAACCTCTTCGAAGCAATCGGATGTATGACGGGCGCGGGTGCGGGTGCAAGGGCGGCATCAACATGCGCCAGCTCGCACTTGCCGAAGCTTTCACTGCAGGGCACAGAAGGGGGGGACGAGCCAGGAGACCAGGAGACTGGAGATGAGGAGTCGCTGGCTTCCCTGGTCGTCCGAGTCCCGTACTCGGACGGCTCCGCGGCCTCCGACCACGAGCGAGGACATAATAGAGAAACAAAGCACTGCGTAAACACAACCCTTCCCTGGCGACCCTCCGACACCAACTACTCCGACCCCTTCTGACAGGCCCAGAGTTTCCTCGACTCTTCGGGGGCCCTTCTGGAGCTCCCAGTTGGGAGGGGAGGAAGGGCCAGGGGAGTGCCCGCCCGCTTGGAGCAACGGGCGCTGGGGCGGCGGGTCTCTGTTGGCGCTCGCCTTCTTGCTCGGGCCTGCACGCCCCACAACACAGGGAGATCAGAACGTCCCAAAACGTCCTCTTCTTTATTCACCCCTCTTCTCTTCTCCACCCCCCCCTCCCTCCCGCCCCCTCCCTCCCTCGCATTCAGCCCCTCCTCCCCCCAAATCTCCTCATCCTCCTCCACCTCCTTCTCTCCCCCCTCCTCCTCTCCCCCCTCCTCCTCCTCCTCCTCCTCCTCCTCCTCCTCCTCCTCCTCCTTGTCCTCCTCCTCTCGCCAACCCTCATTGCCCTCCTCCTCCTCGTCGTCGTTGTCCTCCTCCTCCTCCTCCCGCCAACCCTCCTTCTCCTCCTCCGTCGTCGGCCCCCCCTCCCCCCCCTGGCGGCCCTCCCCGAGCTGGAGCTTCTTCTTCACGAGGTACTTCGCCGTCGCGACGGACCCGTTGTGCTGGGCCTCGCCCCCAGGGGCGGCCAGGGCACCGCACCGCGGTGGGGGTTCGGGCACCGCGCGCGCCCTCGTCCCGACGTCGCTTGCACCCGTCTCGGCGGATATCAGGCAGGTCAGTGTGCTGGAGAGGCGGGACGAGGGGCGGGAGACCACGGTGAGCGTTCTTTTTTTATTCGGCGTTTCGACATTGGGCGGAGGGGGGGCGGAGGGGGGGGGGGGTTCTGGCTCCGGACCTCTGCTTAGTGCGACTGTTTGGGACCGTGCGTCCTCTAGGGGAGACTCCACCTGCTGGGAACAGGCGCCAAAAACAGCCAACATCTACTCCACGGGGAGGGGAAAGGGGGGGGGCGAGGGCCCGCGTCGATCAGCAAAAGAATTAACAAAAAACGCTCACGTGACAGATGCAAAGCGAACGCACTTGCCTTGGCCCTCTCTCGGACTTCCCCCTCTCCACTTGCTCAAGATTTTGGACACCCGAAATGGGTACCGAAAGAATGGGCACAATGCCCAACAACAGGTGTTGTCCCAAACCAACAGCGGCCGCTGTTGGGCGGGCGGCCTCCTGTCTCGAATGGACACAGGCCGCGGCGGCGTGGACAGCGGATCTTGTTCAAAATGAACAAGATCCGCTGTTGGGCATAGTACCCATTCTTTCAGTACCCATTTCGGGCGTCCAGAAAGATGAGCGCTGCTCTCCCCTCTCCCCCCGGAGATGGCTGGGGCGTGGCCCACCCCTCTGCGCGTATCGGCGGCTACACACAGGATCTCGAAGTCGGCCCTCCCGGCGATGTCTAAGCTAACAATATGGTCGCCTTCGGCCCTGCAAAATGGTGCCGCCGCTGCAGCGTGGGCCTCATTCGAGGATCTGCGAGTTGCTCCCGTCGTTCATGATGGCACTCTCGCCCCAGCGCGGGCTACTTTTCGGCGGTGGGCGAACCCCCCTTTAGTAGACCTCACCCTAGTGAAAACGGCCTGGGACCGAAACCGACGGACCTGGACCCGCAAAATGACGGCCGCGACGCCCTCTCGCGAACCGAACACGGCCAGGTCCTTAATCGACGTGTCGGGGTAGGAGGTCTGTCCACCCCCGAACTTTTCTGGATCCGCGTCTCTCTCATCGCTGTCGCCCCTCCCCGTCCCCTCCTCCTTCCTTCCCCTGGCCCTCCAGCTCCTCTCGCGCCTTCTATACTCCAGCTCCTGCTGCTTGCCCTCGTCCACCTCCTTCCTCCTCCCCTCGTCCACCTCCTCCTTCCTCCTCCTCCTCCTCCTCCTCCTTCTCCTTTTTCCTTTTGCTCCTCCTCTGACTCATCCACCACCCTCTCCTCCATGTGCACAGCTCTCCACTTCCGATTGCGTCTAACTCGCTGGGGCCATTAGCTATCAACAAAAACCAGTCCTCGCTGGGTTAATGTTTGTCTGTTGTTAGAGGCGGTCGGCTGCGGCGACGAGCAGCGCGGCTCTCGCCCTGGCGGGGAGATTGCGTCTCAGCATCTGGGAGCACCCATCTGCCGCGGGGGGTGCCAGGCGCTCGCAGCGGCAGCGCTCCACTATGCTGCCCCCCCCCCCGCGCAGGCGCCGAGAGGAAAGCAGGCGACGTTCTGTCCACGCCGCTGCAAGCTTGGGGTGCCGCCGAGCAGTGACTCTCAAGCGGGCTTCGAACACGGCTGCTGGGTCAGCAGCTTCTGAGACACGACGGGCGTTCAGGGCACACATAAATGCATCCATGCAGGCGATACGCTTTAAGTGGCTGTCAGATCATCAAAAACAAGGAGGAGGCAGGAGGGAAACCAATGAGGACTCAACTCGCGACGGAACACATCCGACGTTCTACCCATCCATGTCCTGAGCAAGGATTCGAGGCGAGGGCAGACAGAGTAGTGCCGAAGAGAGACGGTGCCACTTCGATCAGCGGCACGGCACCCAAACAAGCAGCCACGCTGTTCACTATGAAATCGGGCACTCGTGCAAATGCAGCCAATCCGCATTCGCAGCGGTGCGATTCCCAAATACATCGATGTGGCCAGACACACTCGCTTACTATTCTCACACATACAGGTAATCTGTTCGGCCAGAACTTCAAAAACGATGGGGTCATTCTTGAAATTCCAGATCTGCCGTGACACTCGTTGGCGGATTGGAGGAACTATCACAGCAGAAGGCAGAGATGGGTGGAAGGGGTCGGATGTCAGACGCTGCGCGAACGCGCCTGGCTTGCCTGGTTCCCTCTCTCCCCCCTTCCCCCTGCCCCCCCCATCCCGTCCGCTGCCCTCTCACCCTCTGCTCTCCTCCGTTCGTCCCTCCCCCCCCCTGCCCCTCGTTCCTCGTCCTCCCCCCCCATTTCGCCTCGCGATCCCCGCCGCCCCTTTCCCTCCTCCCCCTCCCTTCCCTCCCCTCCCCTCTCCCGCTGCCTCCGACTCGGTATTCCCTCCCTCCCCTCGCCTGTACCGCTGCCCTCTAGGGGCGCCGTCCAGGACGTGTCCGACGATGCCTAAAAACTGGGATGCCACGGCCAGGAGCAGGATGAGCAACGGAGAAGCGATGGCCGCAGGATGAGCAAGGAGGAGGAGGAGGAGGAGGAGGAGGAGGAGGATGAGGATGATGATGCTGCTGCTGCTGATGATGATGATGATAATGAGGAGGAGGAGGAGGAGGAGGAGGAGGAGCAGGAGAAGGTGAGGAGGAGGAGGAGGAGGAGAAGGTGAGGAGGATGAGGAGGAGGAGGAGGAGGAGGAGGAGGAGAACACAGGGAGGGGGACAAGGAAACTCTTGCACGCCCACAGGGCTCTGGTCCCCAGCCTGGCTCCCTCGCCGTTGGGGCCTGGGTGTAGGTTCTGGCCACCTCCGGGTCCGAGAACCAGGACGCGTAGCTGGGCGCCTCTCCTGGAGGAGGGGGAGGGAAGACAGGCGTGGAAGGGAAAGGAGGGATGAGGAATGGGGGAAGGGGCCAGGAAGGGGGAGGCGGAAGGACGGGTGAGGAGGAGGGGGGGGAAGGAAGGGAGGGGGTGAAGGGGGGGTGATAAGGGGGGAGGAAGGTGGGCGGAAGGAGGGGCGTGGAAGGGGGAAGGAGTTAGGAAGGAGGGGAAGGGAAAGAAGGGGTGGAAGGAGTGAAGGTGGGCATGATGGAATGGGAGGAACTGGTGGCGGGACAGAGTGGGGCATCTGCCTGCTTCGACCCAGTCCTTCTTGTTCCGGCCCGCTTCGCCCCAGCAGCTCTTCACACTGGCCCGCTTCGTCCCTGGCCGCTTCGTCTCCCTACGAGCTGTCTTCGGGGTTTTCGACTGTCTGAATGCTGGAGCTCCCTCCCTCACTGCCCTTACCTCACTCTCTCCCTCATTCTCCCGCACTCCCTCCCTCCCCCTGGCATCAGCTCCGTGTTGATCGAACATGGAAGGTGGAAGTGTGGGAGCCAGGGCTTAGGAGAAGGTGGAAGTTGTAGAGCAGGGGGCTGACACAAACATGGGAAGCAAGCCGACCCGGTATCCCTCGATCTTGAACCTGGCCACCTTGCTTGCTGCATGCCGGACGCCTGAGACTCAGAGGCTCGGCTCCCTCCAGACTCGCGCAGGGGAGCCTGCAGATCCGCGCCGCTGCATCCTTTCGCACAGGACCTGTGCAGCACCACACCTGCTGTGCACCATCTGGTACGTGGCTTGCCCGTCGCCGCGGTCCACGTCGTGATTGAAACATGCCAGGCGTGCGGCCAAGCCCAACGTAAGCCTCCCGAGGGCCAGGAGAGGGCATCCGGGGTGGGCACGGAGACTGGAGGGCACCGGCGAGAGCATGGTGACGCCTGACGTCATGACGTTGGGCAGCTCCCCCATGGTCTTGTAGAACTGCCTGCCGATCTGGTACCGCAAGTAGTCGCCGTAGAAGTGCCTCGAAGTGGAGACCTCCGTCGGCGGCAAACGGCTTACTCCAGAAACGGCCACACCAAATGAAATACCGATATGCTTGCGTGATTGATTGGACTCTTGTCGACCCCCCCTGTCTTCTTACGACACCTTCTCGGTATACAGAGCCGCATCCGAATAGAACGAAACAACGTTCTGACTCGGACGACAACAGACACCCCACACCAGCGTGCGAACCGCGGGACTCGCTTCGCGGCTGTTCGTGGGCTTAGCCGAATGGCGCCAGACAGATCCGCCACCGTGCCCCGCTGGCACGACGATTAGGCGTGGCAGGATGCCGAGTGCCGCCTGGCAGGACTTCCACGGCCTTCGAAGGCCCCCCCCTACGGATCGACGCATCCAGCCGACGTGGTAAACATCTTTGAGGCCCACAACCCAGAGATCCGATGTCGTGGTTTTTTCAATACGGGGTCCCCAGAAGTCTCGACCCATTCCCCAGGACCGGTTTTTCATCCTGAGTCGTTTTTTGACGGTCCTGGGGCCCGGCGAGGGCCGCTAGAGGCCGAAAGTCGAGAAAGACCTCCGTCTTGATGTTTTTTTCAATGCGTTGGAGGTCTGGGAAAGCAGACGGGGAGGGGATCGTGAGCCTCCTCGACGCGTGGGGCAGTGGGAGGCATGCGGCGCGGCCCCCCTGCGAGGCCCGGCAGACGGGCCCATGGCGGCGGGAGGCACAACTTCTGCCGTGCCCGCCGGCACGGGGCCTGCCGCTCCTGCTGCCGGCACCCCTGCGCCCTCGCGGGCCAGCAGGCCGGGCGCGGCCGCGTTGCTGGTGCCAATGTGCCAGGGTGCTGGGCTAGGGCTGGACCTAAGCTTTTTGCTTGTTGTTGTTGTTGTTGTTGTTGTTGTTGTTGTTGTTGTTGTGGTTGTTCGTTTTGCTTGTCGTTTTGCTCTACCTGTGCTCCTGTGCTGTTCGTTTTGCTCTACCTGTGCTCCTGTGCCTCCCTGCCAAAAAGAAAAGCGAACGACAGAACACGGCCGAAGTCCGGCAAGACAGCGTTCAGGTCCAGCCCTGTGCTGGGCCCATCGACCTCTTTGGCTTCGTGCCGTTGGGTGTGCATGTCCGAGGGGGCCAGGGGATCGTCCTTGTCGGTTTGCCTACCTCACGGATGGCGACGGGGTCAGCGGCCGCAACGCGGGAAGTTGCAGCTTGGAGGCGGAATCATCAAGAGGAAACCACAAAGGCCTGCGCCTCACGTTCAAAATGGCGTGCGACGGCGCGAGAGTGCAAGCCTTCCCTTCGCGCTGCCGAGGTGCCCCCCCCCAACCGAAGCCGCCCATGCTGCCCGACCCGTCAGCAAGCAGCCCATGGGGAGGGAGAGGCAGGTGGCGAGGAAGAGGGTGCATGCGGAGGAGGATGAAGCTGCCACAAGCGCTGTGTGGCAGGAAGGGCCCCGGGTGGCGACACCGGAGGGGGCCTCGGCGCGAATCGGGGCCGCTGGCATGGGGCCTCCCCGCATGGGTCGAAGGGCGTCCCCCCCTGCAGCTGCGGGGGCGACCCCGCCTCCCAGTCGCCGCGCCCCTGGCGGGACAATTTGAGGAGGGCGGTCTTCAGCAGCGTGGTGGAGCATGCGAGGACGCCGCGCAGGGCGACGAGGATGGGGACGACGAGTGCGCTGGCGGCCATGAGGGGCCAGAGAGCGCGAGAGATGAGGGGGTGGAGGATGAGCTGGCCATGAGAGCGCCCGAGGTCGCGTGCTCGCACTGCCGACGGGGTCGCTCCGGGGGAGGGGCACTTCGGAGAGCCGGGGGGGGGCCTCAGAGGCTGGCTCCCCAGAGGGGCTCGGGAGGAGGGGAGGTGGAGCTGCCGAGGAGGTGGAGGAGAAGCCCTCCGAGGCCTCTCGCAAGGAGAGCACTGGGGCAACGGACTGGGAGCAGGCCTGCGCGCCGAAGGCCGGGTGGGGCAGCCTGCACGCCTCAGGGGCAGCGAGGCGCTGAGCATAGAGGAAGAGCATATCGCAGAACATCAGCTTTAAGAGGTCCGCGCGGATTTCTTGGATTGGCGCTGGGTCCCCCCTCCCTGGCGCGCGGAGCGCGCCATGGGCGGGGGCGGCGCCAGAGGCGGCGCCAGGGGCGCCCCAGCGCCGATCCAAGAAATCAGCACGGAGCGCCGAAAGTTCATTTTTATTCCGTTTTTCTTTCTTCGATCGAGTCAATGCTTGGTTGGTGTCTGGGGAGGCAGGTTGGAGATGCTGCTACTACTGCATCAGTTGTCTTGCCTGACTGACGGGGGGCTCAACAGCCTGGCACGGCGCTTGCAGGCCCCAAGGCCCCGTCGCTCGGGCTGCGGGCGATGCTGTGGCGGAGGAGGGCGGAGGAGGGCGAAGGAGGGCGGAGGAGGGCGGAGGGGGGCGGAGGAGGGCAAACAGCTGTCAACCCCAAGGCAACATTTCGAGTGCTTCTACGCTCGGCTCTCTACGACGCCCCGGACCGCCTCTGGCGGCGGCTTCCGGACCGCAGCAGAGTTCTCCGCCCGCCGAGGCTAAGGCCTGGACCTGGAGGAAGAAACACTGCACAGGCATAAAAACTCTGCCTGCTCTTCCTCCTCCCCCTCTACCTACTCTTCCTCCTCCCCCATCGTCTTGGCCCAGCTCCTGAGATAGGAGCTTCTGAAGGCCAGAGCTTCGGAGGCAAAGTGCCTCCCACTGCTGCAGGGGGTTGCAGCAGCTTATACCGAAACCACCATCCAGCCATGCGCTCCCCCTCCCCCGCCGCCTCCCCATTTGTCCCCCTCCTACTGTACCACCTTCTGTGGAGGAGAACAAGCAGCATAAGCATCAACTTTTGGAGCGCCGCGTAGAGCTCTTGGGTTTGCGGTGCATCCCGCGCGGAGCGCGCCGGGGGCTGGCGCGGGAGGAAGTAACACAACTGCGTAAACACAAACTTTTGGAGCGCCGCGCAGATTTCTCGGGTTTGCGCTGAGCCCGCGCACCAGGGGCGGCGCGGGAGGAAGGTACACAATTGCGTCAACACAAACTTTTGGAGCGCCGCGCAGATATCTTGGGTTTACGCTGAACCCGCGCGCCAGGGGCGGCGCCGTAGGCAGAAACCACCTTATGAGCACAAACTTTTGGAGCGCCGCGCTGATTTCTTGGGTTTGCACTGCAGACCCTCCCTGGCGCGCGGAGCGCGCCAGAGGGGTTCAACGCAGATGGACGAAATCCGCGCGGAGCTCCGAAAGGTTCTATGGTTATGCAGTTTTTTCTCCGTCGCAGATCCAGTGGCAAAGCGACGGCCGCCGCTACGCCGGCAGGCTGGTGCAGTGGTGAGAGGCGGCCCTCGCGTTGGCCACGGTGGGTTGTCGCGCGCCGCTCGCAAAGCAGGCCAATGGCAATGGTGCCAAGCTTCTTTGGGGAGGGGGAGGATGAAGGGGCGGGGAGCGACGCCACCAGATCTCGAAGCCCCAGACCCGACCACAGTGCGAGCCAGTAAGACGCCTGGAACATCGGAATGCCACAGGCCAACTGTGGCAAGCCGAGCGGGCAGGGCGCGGAGGCTCGCCAGAAGCTGCGGGAGCGCGCGGCATCGGTCCCCCTGTGGCCCAGGCCCAGGCTCTTGCTCGAGGAGTGGGAGTGGAAACGGTGACGGTTGCCCCCCCCGCCCCCCCTGGTCCGAACGCCCCCCCTCCTTGGACAGAGACGCCCCCCCCCCGGTCCCAACGCCGCCCCCCCCCCCCCCCCCCCAAACCCAACCCCACCTGCAACTCAGGGGGGAAGCCCCCCCCCCCCCCATTCGAACCGATGGGGTGGCGACCCCCCCGGTTCGAATCCCCCCCCGACATCGCAGGGGCCCCACCCCCTGGTTCGACCCCCCCCCTTGCTTGCCAGCGTCCACAGAACGCGCTCTCTCGGCCGTTGAATCCTGGCGACTGGGAAGTGGACAGCGTGTGGTGCCGAAGCGTGGTGGGCTAGAACCGGCGGCGCGACACGCTGCCCAAAAGCTCTGGACCGCGTCTCCCGCGCCTGGCTGGAGGCGAACGCCAGCTTTCATCCGGACGTGGGCTAGAGTCAAGAGCGCCAACTCCCAGGCAAGAACCAAAGACACGCGACGAGCGCGGGGACCGGAGGGCCCGAGGACGAGCGAAGCGAGGGGCCAGAATAGAGGCCTTCTAGATGGGGTCCGAGTAGTTGGGGTCGGACGATCGCGCCGCATCGCCTGTATCGGAGATGCGTTGGCGATGCATCGGCGATGCATCAGTGATGCACCGACGATACATCGTCGACGTCGGCGATTCATCGGCGCCGTCGACGTGGAGAACATCGGACATCACATCGAGCCGCATCGCCGATGCATCGTCGATGCGGCGCAATCCTTCGACCCCACTATACTCGGGCCCCACTTGGGAGGCCTAGACAGAAGAGGCGAAGCCGAACAGGGAAGGGACCGGCTGGCCAAACAAGGACCGCAAAACTTCGACGGGCAGAGCAACTTACATAGAAGAAGGGAAAAGCACCATGAACGTAAACTTGTGGCGCTCCGCGCGGATTTCTTGCATCCGCGCTGAGCCCCCCTGGCGGCGCCTCCACCGCCGCCCCTGGCGCGCTCCGCGCGCCAGGGAGGGGGGTCCAGCGCAGATCCAAGAGACCCACGCGGAGCGCCAACATATTATGTTTATGGCGTTGTTGTTGTTTGTTGTTGTTGTTGTTGTGGTTGTGGTTGTGGTTGTGGTTGTGGTTGTGGTTGTGGTTGTGGTTGTGGTTGTGGTTGTTGTTGTGGTTGTTGTTGTTGTTGTTGTTGTTGTTGTTGTTGAACTCTCATTCCTGAAGAATACTTATTGTTGATCCCCCCCACCGGTGCATACTGTTGTTCTCCATCAAAGTGTGCCCCTCGACGCTCGCACCCTGTTTTTTGTCAGGGAAAGTCTTATGAGCCCAAACGAGGCCCAACAGGCCTTCACAAGGCCCCCAAGAGAA